GAACCTGGGAGGGAGGGAAAAAAAAAAAAAAGATTATTAAGGGTGTAACAAATGTGGTGAGGTGCAGCTAGAGGGCACATGGGCCATTTGCACAGCACTCAACAACACGTCAAGCACAGATAGAGAAGGCCGCTCCAGCTACCTGTGGCCTAGGCTGCTTACATATTATGTTTGCTGTTAGAGCAAACAGCTTGTCCCATATCAGCAAATACTACTTGTGCAAGCTGTTACCCAAGATTTGTACTGTATGTGCTTGAGCTGGTTCCCAGCAGTGAGCAGATAAGAATTTCAGAACATGCAAGCTCTGAATTTTCCTTTCTCTCACCCCTGTCCTCTGTCTCCAGAAAGCAGCCAGTTGTGCAGTGCTGTCAGGGAGCTGAAGCACATGGAAATGGGCAACATCAACACACAGTCAGTTTGAGCTTCAGCTCAGGATCTTGTCATCCTTGGTGTTTCCACAGCTGCAGTGTGTCTTATTTTAGAGTGGGATTAAATACGCATCTGATGTTAAAGAAATCTATAGTTAAAAAGTGGGGGGGGAGGGGTTAAAAAAAAAAAAAAAAAAAGAAGGCAGGATTACCATGGGCCTTATCCAGGAAAGGACCTTTCTTAAATCCCAGAGAAGGGCAGAAAGGCATGAGCAGGACTCTGGACTAATTAGCCCTACATGCAAAGGCTGTTAGAAAATAAGTAGAAACTACTGCTGACCCAGTTAAAGGAGAGAGAAACTGTGGGTTAATAGTTCCCCTGAAAAGAAATGATCCTGTTTCACATGAATGCATACAGCCATATGTCCATGAAACAAGATAACATCTATTCTAGGGAAGCAATTTTATCTACTGCTCTGTCCTAACGAAGGTTAGGAAAGAAGATTCTTGCCCTGCAAGTCCCTGAGGAATAACAGGAGAAAAGAGCAGTTACGATTACTGCAGTGGGTCCTCAGTGGATTAAAATAATCTCAGTAGTCTCATACTCTAATTAGGATTGAAATAAATCAAGAAATAAGCACAGGGTCTTGATTACAATTGCTCAGACTTGGCCACACATACTGCTCTTAGTGCTATTGAGCTAGGGGCAAAATGCAGCCTTGAGGATGTCCTGGCAGGGATCCCCACTGCTCTTAGTCTTAATAGAGTGAGAGTAAGAGTTGGACAACGGCCGCCCATGACTCCAGTATGATCAGAGCTCAAGTGTGTGTTGAACTAGCGTATGGAGACAAAAAAAAAAAATGGCTACTGTTACTATCAGCAGCATTAAATTAAGAAATTAGAGATTTAATCCCCTCTCTTATCAACTGTCATCAGCCAGTGAGCCTCGCTACTGAACAGCGCAGCAGGAACTTGTCTACAGCCCAACGCTTCTTTCTCTTTGGATCAGCTTTTTTCCAACTCTTGGAATGGGCGACATTTACATCAAAGTTAGCAGATTCCTCTTCACAGCTAAATTTCATATTAAAAAATATATTTGAAGATAACATCATTTTATTAAGTTATTCCCAGGAAAGGAGTATTGTATATAAACTGGACCCAGATGTTACAAAGCATAACAAGGAAAACAATTCCATCTGGCTATTTGCAGCAAGCTCTGCCTTGCTATCAGAAGACAGCTAATGACTGCTTTTGTGGGGCCCACCAGAACTCTTAGAGGAACAAGGGAGGTCATTTTATCAACGCATTTAAAGCTTTATGTTTTTTTCCTTACATTTGTCTCTCTTAAGAGATAAGCAATATACAAACTAAGTATCTAAGTACAGAATATTTCTTCTAAGTGTACAGCATGTTCTTTAAGCAGCCTAGTACATGTTGCTATTTATAAAATGAAGTAAAACTATACATTTGGGCAGGTTATTTTGAATGGGCTCTGTATTTGTATTTAAGATATGGAGATACCTATATAGAACATGCATATAAACACAGAAAGGACTGTATTCTCCCTAAAGATCAGTGGTAAATATAAAAACATGCAAGAAACAAATATGAGTTCATATATTACCTTACCTGATTTGTCTATAATGGCATCAATTTCTTCAATGACATCAAAATAGGCTTCGTTGTTTGTATATTTTACCCCTGCTCTGCGCCAAGGAATGTTGGACAGCTGCCCCGTGGGAAGTGTGTCACCCACGTTACTACTGCCTTAAGAAAGTGAAAAAAAAGCCTCATAGAGTCAGTAAGTAATTACAAGAGGAGTATTCCAGATATCGCAGTTAGGAATCAAAAGATTTTGACCTTAAGAACTTAAAACTAAAATCTGAAACGCTAAAATTTGATTAAGTGATTTGAGTTAATTTCAAATATGTGTCCAGACTCAGAGCTTTGAGACTATACTTTGCACAGCACAAGGCTCAAGTCAGCAAAAGATTTTTGACTGAGAGTAGATGGAGGGCTTAGATTCCCAAGAGAATTCAAACGCTACAGTTCTTTGGAGCTCCTTGTGAGGGCCCTGAGCCCTGTTTCTCCCTCTTCCAGGTTAGCTGGCTGCCCTTACCTGTGAGGTAAACTAAAGCTCCCTGACAATACCCTTACTCAGTGGTGTTGCAGTGGGTCCGCTCGCCAGCCGTGCAGATGCCACCGGCTCAGCTCACACTCGTGTGGCTCTGTCACCGTGAGATGTGCCCATTTACAACAGTGTGAAACCAGCCCTGGACGTGATGGGTGCTGAGGGTGGCGTACGTGGGGGCAGGCTCAGGATAGGCTACTTGCTTCTCGTCACACTATTTGTTCCCAGACACCAAAGATTTATTGGACTATTCTTAGGTATGTGTTGCTTATCCTTGCACACTAATGTTGTACAGCATGCACAGCCTTCCCCAGCGCCCCCGTGTCATTCAAGACGTGGCCTCCCAGAGCACCTGTCCCCAGTCCGTGCTGCCTGGGCTGTGTCCTGCTGCTCCTGAGGGACTTCAGCAGCTGTGGCCGGAACAGACATTATCCTGAGGATATCAAAGGGGCCTGGCCTAAACTGCAAATACAGAGTAAGCTGCCTCCACCCAGCAATTAATTATGGGAAGGACAGGGGCCTGAATTTGCAAGTTCAGACCAATATGGTGTTATTTTTTAGTTAAAAAGCATCATGGTGCTGGGTTTTTAAGCAATGAGACACCTCTGAATATTATTTATATTCATACCTGTGATGGAGTTGACAACAGAGCGCAAAATTGTGGGAGGCTTAATCAGTTCCTTCAGTATGTTGGATTCTGTTGCCAGTGGAAAGCCATTGTCCAGCATCTCTTCTAGCAGCTCGTACACAATAACTACATTGTCCTTAATTGCAGTCTCAGAACACTCGCCAAAGTAATCCTAAACAAATCACAGATTACAAAGGGGAGGATTTTTATTCCTGTTTAAATGCCTTACAATATTATTTTTTAATGTTTACAGAAAAACTCTGGTATATCATAGGATTTTAGTGACGAAAATGACTAACTGCTTCTATAGCCTGATGGTACTACATGTTAATGTTGTGTTTACTGTGTAATTAGAAACATGGACAGTGTGAATAACAAAATGAATTCAATATGGTTTACTCTGGATTTGTGTCCCAGGGTTTTCCCACTTGTGAACATTAACACATCTTCTGTCAGAAGACTGCTGTGAAATATGAAAAATATCTTTTGACAGGCCCAATCTCCACTGAGATTCTTTTATTTCCAGTATATGACAAATAGGCTGAAGATTGACTCTCGCTCAGCACTGCTGCCCTCCCTACAGACTGCTCCATGACTGAGTGCTAGCTCAGGTCATCAAGATAACATGAAGAGTACAAAAGCTTACAGAAACAAGGCAGCTTTCATAAATTGGCAGTTGGATTTAGTGCATGTGCACTGGTATCTGTAAATCAAGTGAATACACAAGATGATAAACCTTCCTTTCCTTTGTACTTTATAAACCAACACTTGATTTGAAAATTGCCGAGGGGAAAGTCGTGACAGGAGGGTTTATTGCCTTTCTTTCCAAGAAGTTTGCATAAAAATTCCCCTGAATTTTTTTCAGTCTTAAAATTACTTAATAGTAACACACCTGGAAAGTATCTGCTACTCGGTGCAGAAATTCGATTACAAAGAGTGGTGGCACTTCTGTCTGTATGACAGACACAAAGAAGATTTTATCCCGATAGATGCTGATGAGGTAGTGATGTGGCGTTGGGATGACAGGAGGCACATTTTCAACATCGACTGCCTTCTCCT